ATGGACCCACCCTCGAGCCTTGAGGAGCCTCACGCTGCATCTCTTCCCTGAGTGTGCAGGTGTCTCCCTCATATATAACCCACCTGTCGCTAAGATAATTATCCATTATCCGCGACAAGTAGGGCGGCATGTTGTTCTTTTTCATCGACTCGATGAGATCTTTCCATCTTGCGGAATTAAACGCGTTGCGTATGTCTATTGCTACCAACGCGCAGAAGCTCTTCTTTTTTCCAGGTCCCAATTTGTTTTTTCCTGTTTTGGCTATGTCCACAACTGCCTGGATGGCATCAACTGTGGATTTGCCCTTACGGAAACCAAATTGGTTATCCGATAGACTATTCTCTCCGGTCAAGTGGCTTTGCATTCTCTGCAGAACCATATCCTCTAGAAGTTTACCCATTGTATCTAGTAGGCATATAGGCCTGTATGATGAGACTTTATCTAGAGGTTTTTCACCTTTCCTCTGGAGGAGTAACCTCTGTCGCTTCCAGTCGCGGAAGAACTCTCCTCTCTCAAGGCAAAGATTGAAGCATCGAAGCAGAATCTGGGGTGAAGTGTCGATAACCAACTTTAGGATCTCGTTACTTATCCCATCGATTCCAGGCGCCTTGCCTGTTTTCAATCTTTTGCCTGCTTTTTGTAGTTTACTAAGTGTGAAGAGTTCATCCTTTTCCACTTTGCAAAAACTCCAGTCCCTTCTAAGGTATGGCTCTGCAGGAGGAAACAAAGAACTTATTATCTTTCTGACCTAATCGGGATTGTCCAGGCCAGGGGTCTTTTGCCTCGTCACTAATTTCTTAGTAACGATTTTAAAAGTGAGACCTGCGGATCTCTTTCTTGAGGTCCTTTTTCGCCTCCTTCAAAGCCTCTTTCAGCAAGGGATCTCCCTTAGATCGGGTATATTTCATTCTTGCTTTGAGGCATTCCTTTTCAAGGAGGCCAGCTCCTCTGACCACCAGTGCAAGGATTTTCTTACGGGAATGGCGCCTTTCCGTGGCATAGACGCATTGCAAGCGGTGACTATCATATTCCTCACCGCTCGAACCTCCCCATCCAGACTGCTCGGCCTCTTCACCCAGCCCAAGTCCTCAATTAAAAGGGCTTCTCTTAGGGACCGGCCGAACTTTTCCTCGTCGAGTCTCTTCATATTCCACGAGGAGGTTTTGCGATTAGAAACATCCTGTCTTTTTCCTCCTCGTGTGTCTCCCATCGAGACTGAGAACTCAATGTACTGGTGGTCACTTGCGGTATATTCCTATGAGACCCGCCAGTCGCTTATGCGGCTAAATAGCTTAGACGATGCGATCGTTAGATCTATAATTGATTCGATCGCACCTCGTCTAAAAATCCATGTATTGCCTCGGTTTACAGCCAATAAGTCGTTTCTGGAGATCATTTCTTCAATACGAATTTCTCTCTTGTCGAGTCTCGTCTCACCCCACTCTGGCGACTTTGCGTTAAAATCGCCAGTGATGATGAAATCCAGCCTGGATTCTGTGAGGCTCGCTTCTAGGTCTTCGATATTGGCTTCGAAGTTTGTCAGTGGGTCGTCGGGTGAGAAGTAGCAGCTATACATACGTATATTAGCCATCTCTATCCACACGAACCCACTGTTCGTCTCCAGAAACTTGTCAACCCGCAATTCTGGGTTGCACAGCTTTATGGCGGCTCTCTTCGCCTTATCCTGATACCAAGGGGCGAGGTCGCTTCCTTGATACTGCTCACTGCAGAACAGGATATCGACCTCAGTTTCCCTTGCTGTTTGCATTAGGAGCAACTGTGCATCCTTACTTTTATGCAGGTTGACCTGCAAAAATTTTAAGGATTTGCCCTTTTAATCTTTTGCAGTTCTTCCCAGTAAACCAGGCAGACTCTTTTACCGGACTCATGATCCGTTTCTGGCTTTCCCATGTCCGAGCAAGTAAGGCACTTCGGCTTAACGTTACAGCTCTTCGCGAGGTGTCCTTCTCCGCCGCATCTCCGACAGTTTTTACTTCTGTCGGGGCCTTTGCAGGATAGGGTTCTGTGTCCGTAACCTAGGCACTTTTGGCACCTAGCTACTTCAACATGCTCGCGAATTTGAGCATTTATCCAGCCAATTTTGATTCGGCCAAGTTTAAGCAGAATGTCACTTTCTGCTTCTGCCATGCGGATTAGAGCAACCTTAGTTTCTCTGTAGCGCGGCAATAATTTACACTCCATAGTCAGGTCGGATTTACCCAGCTTTTCTTTCAATGCTGAAGTCATCTAACTCTCTGTAGTGGCTTCATCCAGGTCTTTGATTTCTAGAGACCTCTTATTTACTAAAGGTATGACCTCGGCCTCGCCATGCAGGGCCACGGACAGACTCTCTGCAAATTTTTAAGTCTCTCCACCCTTTTTCACTATCAGGAGAACCTCTTGTTTAAAGGTTCTCCTGATTTTTTGAATCACGGTACCAGTGTCTTCTGGTTTAACCTTTGATTTTATCAGCGGCAAGATACGCTCATAAGATTTTGGGTCTCTTGCCGTGATCTTTACCGCTTCCGTGGTTCTAAGCTTCAAAGGGTGTTTTGGGAGCTCTTTTTTTCCACCTGGGGTCTCAGCATACGTCTGGCTGGGACTACTTAAGGGCGCCTCTTTTGCTCCAACTAGCGACTCAGAATTAAGCGTTGGAGCATCCTTTCGCTTAATCCTCTTTCCGCTCCGAGTCGCTTGTTGAGGACTCTTATCCGGGCTTACACCTTCTCTGGGGCGCTTACTTACGTTCTTTGCCTTATTAGAATCTGTATCTGCTGCACTATCCAAAGTTGCAGCAGCACTCCTCGTTTGCCTTGGAGTTCCTACAGCTGGAGTCCGTGGCTCCTGATCCCTGAACGGTTCAGGGATAAAACGCAGATTCCTTCAAATTGTACAGAACGCACTCTCCAAAACCGCCACGCCATCCTGGATGTCACGACTGACGTTCTTTTGGCGCTTGAATGCCTGGTGTACGCTCTTAAAAATCCCGGGAATAGCCAGGAACTGATTTGCGACATTTGATTCATAGCATGTCAGCTGACTATCTATTTGGCTCCCTCCAAAATCCTTGGAGCCATCTGCACCGACTATCGGGGCTTGCACCTGATCAGAATCGGTGGTGGGATTACCCTCTTTCGAGGTACCCACTTGGAGTATTTCGTTTAAGATTTTGTCCATTTCATTTGTTTTTTTAATTCTTTGTCCCGTGTCGAGGGACAATCGGGCCTTAACAGGGTACTACCATCTGGCCAGGATGGGCCCTGAACCGCCTCCGTTAGTTACATAGACGTTATAGCATTGCCGGAGCATTGATGCGACGTCTATGATATCCAAGGACACGTGAACATGTATGTTCGGACGTGGAGGTCAATGTGTCTCTCCAAGATAGCAGGAAGATTCCGCAAAAGTAGTGCATCTTGGTATCTCTTCACAGAGTTTACCCTTATTATTATTATTATTATTATTATTATTATTATTATTATTATTATTATTATTAACTTTTTTTTGCTTAGGGACTTTTGGGAAATCTGCCTACAGATACCTTGGATTCCGCACTCCAAGGTTATGTGGGGTTGGTACAATAAAACAGATGAAAATATTAAAAAAAAAAAAAAAAGATAAATAAATAAATAAATGTTATAATAAATTTAATAAACTGGCGATCTACTACCAGTCCGACCCACTAAAACCCGTAACCCTTCTTCTGGAGCCCTTTACCCTCCCTCGGAACTGTCGTAAGACTTTAGCCTTCGAGGGTGGCGCTCCAACTCTGTCGCTAATGCGACTTTCTGCTTTTCTCTGCGGTTATCCTGCGTCCATAGTTAAAAAAATGATTAAAACCATTTCACAGTCCAAGCGGAATTTACAGCACAACAATAATAAAAATAAATAACTAAATAAATAAAAAAAATAAAAAACAAACAAATTGAAAGCTGTTTAAATCACGCTTTTTGGCGGCCGTGGAGATCCTTCCTCGACATAACCGAGGTTACGAAGTTCTCGACTCGCTCCTTTTAATACTTCTTATTTGCTTTTAGTTCTTGCGAGAGTCTTCTTCGCCTCCTCAAGGGCCATCCTGAAGACTCCGCATCCTCCGCTGCCTGCAATATGGGTGGTTGACACCTTATTGACAAACTTTTTCTTGCATAAAAAGCAACTTGGGCTCTTCTTACAGTTGGAGAACCTGTGACCGGACGACTTTTACTCTTTTTTTAATTGGGCAACACATAAAACCAATTTTTACGTGTCCCAATTTCTCCAACCTGTCCGCCTCTTCCGGGTTGGTGACTACAACCGCGAGCTTCATCCCTCGGCGGTTGGGTCCTAAGACCGTCACTTTCCTGCATCCTGGCTTTCCTATCGCTTTCGACAACACTTGTTGCACCTCGGCTTCTTGGGTAAGGCAATCCAAATCACGGATCTCGAGTGTAACTCTTCGATCCAACGACTGCACCTTACCAATGCTTCTAACCGCTTTGGTGACCTCAGCGGTGAAAGTGCCCTTGTCGGAGCCTCCTCTGATCTTAATCAGAAGGTCTCCCTTCTTTGTAGCTTTTGCTGCTACTATTCTCGTATGGCAGTCGTCCGGGTTGACCTCTTTGCGAAGTTTACTTAGAACGTCAGCATACGTTAATCCTTGACCGACTCGGATTAGAACTGCGGATCTTTTTGACCCCATTCTTTCCATTTGAGGAATCTTTGGATCTGGTACTTCCGTTTCCATTGGATCGGTTTGGGTTCGAGTCTCCCCTGAACTGTCACCCTCTCGCTTCCATTTTTGAGCATCTCTTAGGACGCTTTTGAGATTACGCTTATAGGAACGCTCACTCTTTTCCTTACGGTCCTTGCGGTTACACTCCGCACCGATGAGAACGCATGCTAAATTGAAGTCCGACTCATCGGCTGCGACATGCTTTACTTTTGCCTCTTTCAACAGGACTTCGATGGCTCTGAGTCCATCTTTTACCGTCCTGTTGACGTTCTTCTGAATGTGGCAAGATTTTATCATCTTTGCGACCTCCAACTCCATTTTGTCAAGGCAAGTCGCCTCCTCCTTTCTGAGCCGCGGGCATATCTCGCGAGTCTCTTCTATCGCCTCGTCGTCTACTTCTGAGTGGATAGCGCTATGTACGAACATCCTCTTTCCACGATGTTCTGTGGATCCAATCTTTCCACGATCACCCGTGGCACTGCAAGAAATTGTGCGCCCCCACAATCCGCGCGTACTTGAGCATCAGTCTTGGGACCGATGGTGAGATTTCCCGTTTCCGGCCTGCTCACATGGGGTACTTTCTTTGAAATTTGTGAATCCATTCTTTCTTGCTGTTTGGTTGCCTTTTAGTGAATAGCCCCGCCACCACGGCAAGGTCTACCGAACATATCCATGATGCCAGTCGTGTCTGGCAGCGGGACCACTTCTCCCAGCACATCAAAGAAATCAATGATGTTTGGCAGTGGACCCGCTTCTCCCAGTACATCTAAGACATCAATGATGTTCGGCAGTGGACAACCAGCGGCGAAGATTATTATTATTATTATTATTTATTGTTAATACTAACTAATATAAAAATAATATATTATTGCAATTATTTTCATTTCCCAAGTAACATAAAAATTTGCAAGAAACTTGCATTTTTCTACTTGGAGTAAGTTTCTCGCGAAATTTCAACTTACTTGGGTATTGTTACTATTTTTATTTTTATTATAATATTTGTTATGAAATTGATGATGTTCTTGTTGTTGTTGTAAAGTCCGGTAATTAATTTAAAGTTAATGTAATAATTAATAAAGCGTAATAAAATATCGAAAGAATAATAATTAAATTCAATAAATAATTTATTATTATCAATACACAATTTGAGAGCACTTTCTGTTTAGCGATTCTCTAATATCGGGGGAGAGAGAGACATGTTTCCGGAACGATATATTACCTAAAGCTGAGATTATAAATCACTGGAATCGAATCGATGAATCCGCTGATTTGTCTCAACGACCAATGTTAATGATAATAATTTTCATCACATCAAGAAGTAATTCCCAACTATTTTTCATTGTCTTATTATTTATTGCATTAAAAATGTAAAGTTTTATTTTCTTCAAAAAAAGCTTATTTAATTTTAAAGAATCGCTTAATATCTCTCATTATATACATAATAAAAATATAAGAAAAATTTAATTTTTAATTTTCTCATATGATGAAACCGACATTATTAACGCGGAATATAAAGTATACATATCTATACCAAGGGTAATTGTTGATGTTATATAATACATTTTTTTCAATTTTCCAAGAATATTACAAACCCCCCTTTTCGAAGTGGAACTTTGTTACTCATGCAATGTACCATCCACAAGCAATCATGAAGCGCTTTAATTAAAAATTCTATTAATTCTCTGTGAGTTCGCTTACTGGTTAGTTACACTTTACCCCTGAAGACCAGAGTGCTTCCATTTAGAAAAAAAAACTTTAATAAAGTAATATTTAAATAATTATCAATTTAAGATAAATTGAATGGATTGAAAACTTATCAAGAATAATGGAAAATTATACCTACAATTGTCAATGTAGAAGAAAAAAATTAGCAACAAATATCAGTTGACAAAAGATTATTAAAAGATTTATCACACCACATAATTAATACAACTTTGTAGCAAAAAGAAAGGGGAAAAAAACAACCTAGAACTCTGAATTATTATTTTTTAGTGTAAAAATAAAAAACAGTGTTTGCAGCTGGTAAATTATTATTCAACAGTTAAATTTTAATTAGACAGGGAAAAAAATGAGATTTTATTGTATAAACGCGAGTAAACTTGATCGTTTTATGGGATCAAAGAAGACTTTGCAAATATGAATAATAATTAATTGGCATGCCGAGGTAAACTCAGTTGAAACTTAATGCATCTCATTAAGGCTTATCTTTCAAAATTCCCTTTTTTAAAGTTTTATAAGAAATATGTACATTTTTCTTTTCTCGAGGATTTTTTTTTGTTAAATTCAACTTCTCATCTATTCAGAAAATTTATCTCTTGATAAATGATAAGTAACTGTAGGTTCTATTCAATTTTAATATTTTTCATAAGCTAAAAAAATTTATATGTGTAAGAAAATTTTTTTATGCAAAACAAACAAAAATAAGAAGTACATAAAGCATACTAAAGAAGGTACTTTATAAATTCAGTTAAAAAAGTTTTTCGGTAAAAAAGAATTCTTCAAAATGAAAATTTGTAAAACTACCACCATCAAACTATAAAATTCATGACCTTTTGGCAAAGTACAATAAGAACTCATGAAACTTCTTTATTCCTAATTGAGAAAAATTTCTTCAAAATGCTCTTACTTCCATTCTCAACAAAAGTTAAAGAGAGGTAGAGTAGAAAAAAAATTTCAAATTAACTAGAAAAGTTTCATTCGAAAGTATGAAACAAGATGTATGATTTGTTTGTAAAGAAAAAAAAATTTTTTTCCCCTTTATTCAATTATAGTTTTATTTAAATTATAAATACTTAACATTAATTCAGAATATAGGAAAATTACTTCTTTTTGTCCCAATTTCAATATAATGATAAATGCAGTAAATTATACATACAAAAAAAATTACTATAACGAAGCACTTGTTTCAAGGGGAAAAAGTTATTTTAAAGAACTCTCCTTCATCTTTCTGTCTCTGTCTCTCTGTGGAAGGTTGTCTTTTGACAAATCCAACATCAGAGCAAAGGTTGAAACTTAAAGGCGAAGAGATGACGATTCAATTCGTCTCTCACAACCTAGCGGAGGAAATAAAACAAAAAATATTTTATCTCTCTTTATCCAGTATGATTTCTAGTAATGTCAAAAAGTTATACAAACAATTTTTCAAAAAAAGAAGAAACTGTTTTTCCGAATTTATCATTTTATGTACAAAATATCAGAATTTATTTCAGACACTTTAAAACTCGTTTTGAAGTTTCTAAAAAACTTTTTAAAAACCCATTTCAGAAAAGTAAAAGTGTAACTCGAAAACTGTTTGTAATATTGTCAAATTAATAAAAGTTTTACTCGTCAAGTAAATGGGTAAATTGTTTTAAATTCCTAAAAGTATATTCCGAGTTGGTTCAATTATTTCTGCTAATTAAATTTCAAACAAAAATATTAGTTAAATATATATGAAATCGAAAAATAGTATTTAAAAAAATAATATTCAATAATTAGTTTTTCATAAATTACGAATAAGAGTTGGTTATTCATTTATTTCTAAATGTACTTTTATAAAAGAAATATAAAAATTTAAAGAAGCATTTAATTATAATTTTTGTTTGCCTTCGAAGATAAAAATATTTTTACGAAAATGAAAAGAATTGTGAAAATAAACTTATGTTCACTATTTTTTTAGCCTTCATTCTTGAACATCGTTGCACGAGTTTCAATTAAGCGTCAACGGGAGCTCGTGTAATAAGCTTTTGGAAAGTTCCGCGTACCTGAATTTGGTGCAACTATTTGATTTACAATTACAGCCACGAGCCAACGAGCTTTCAGGTACGAGACTCTGATTATCGCTGGGGAATCCGTCGAACGAAAATCGATTTGGCAACCCCGACGGATATACCTATAATTTGTGACACGCGATCTCCCGCACCAAATGAAAACTTGATGCCGCGTCACGTGGATATTCAGCGCACCGCAACGCTCATTTTACGCTATTCACTCATTCTTCGTAAACAAAACCATGTCTCAAAATTTGTTTACAATTTTCTTCAACAAATTGTTAGAGACTTGCTAAATATTTGCAAAAAAAAATTTACAACCATAAAGTTAATAATAAAGTTAATATTCCAATTCCTAGACTACTAAGAATTAACTATAATAATCGTCGTATTCTGTCCATTCTGTCCACATTTGAAATTAGACTTTTGTGCATACTTTTGTTTCTTTAATATGTTTTGATAGATAATATTATACCTACTTCTTTATTTTTTTACTATTTTTTAATTTAATAATATTATCTTTATTTTTCAATTAATTCATATATTCATTTAAAAAAATTATTAATGTTATTATTCATTATTTCTTTGTTTCTAAAAAAATTACCATTTTGTAACAAACGTTTTAGGTAATTAACAAATGTAAATTCTGCAAAATATTATCCTTTTTTAATATAAAAAACTTAATTGTTTGACAAATCGCAATTATGCAGCTATTTTTTTCATTTTTTCTCAAAAAAAATTTAAAAAATTGTTGGAAAATTAAAATTAGAAAGTAGAAAATATTTTGCACATTTTCTACTTCTCAATTACAATTCATTAACAAAGTACAAGTTTTAAGTAAAAAAAATGTTAAAAATCAAATTTTGTTTAAGAAATTTTTAATTTATTTTGGAAAAAATATTTACAAAATTTCTATTTGTTAAAAACGATTGTAAAATTATTCGAAAACATCAACAACTTCTTTTCTAAATTAATATTTAAGCATTATTATTTTTCCACAGGAATCAAGATTTTCAAAAATTTCAAATTAAAACCTATTTTAAAATTTAACAACTTATAAGAATATTAATTATAAAACATGAAGAAAGTGATTACTCCGAGTCTTCGACTAATCGGTTTCTTCAATTTTTATAATAAATTAAAGATAACCGAGTGATAAGATCATTATTTTATATAATAGGAATACTTTTACTGTAATTTTTTCAAAATTATTTTCATCATTTTAATTGAATTATTATTTTCTGGAATTTTTAAATAAAATTCTTCTTTAAATCAATCATCTTTAATCATTTTTGAAAAAATTCTTTGAGAATTTTCAAATTCATTTGTTTACAATTCAATTTTACGAAATTTCAATTATATTCAGAAATTCTTCAATTGAATACGTATTACAAAATAAACACTTCAAATAATTTCAGAAAAAATTGAATTAAACTTTTTCAAATAATCAATTCTGCAGAATTGTTGGTTATAAGTATGAAAAATGAAAAATTTTTAAAGAATTTAACTTGAAACCTTTATTTTTTAAAATTCATGCTATAAGGCTTTAAATATTCAAATATTATTTGAATATTTAAATAATTTGAATAATAAATATTCAAATAATCTAAAATTTTAACTGAAATTAATTTTTAAATCAATTTTTATTAGAAAATTCTACAATAATTCAATTATTTAAATGCAAAAATAAATAATTTATTGAATATGTATTTAAAAGAATTTATCACTTGGTAAAAATTATATAATTCGAAAATAAAAGGAATTTATTGAATGATTAAATATTTCTTAAAATTGAATTCTCATAGAGAATTTTATCAAAACATTTTTAAATAATTGTTTTCTTTTGACGATTTTTAATATAAAATTGTTAAGAACAATTAAATTTTTCGAAAAATTCGATTAAAATTGTATTAAAAATAATTGAAATTCTGCGATGAGTTTTATTTATGAAAATAATTGATTCTTAAAAAGAATTTTATTATTTATTAAAATAATTCAATCCCTGTAAAAAATTTCATTTTCTAAATAATAGAATTCATATGAAATT